TATGAGTGCGAATGCGTTACAGTGCAGAATCCACAGCCGCATGCAGAGGGTTGCATAGAGTGCCGAATGGGATCCGAAAAAGGACTCGAAGACTGTAAAAAAAACCTACTAAACTGCAATGCACAGATGAAATTCTGATGATTTCCAACAATGTTAAGATGTAGGACTCGCGGCGGTTGGTTCGGGAATACGAAATGACTACTCAAGCGGATTAACTACACTAGTTTATTCGCCAAAGCGTTAGAGAGAATTATATACAAGTGGTGTTAAATTATGAATTACGAAGTAATGCGATTTGAATAGGTCGATAGTCTCCGACTGACAGAATTCGGGTAGTCGTTACTTCAGAACCTCGGAGGTGCATGTGTGTCCTCTGATGTGTGTGTGTGAGGGCTATACTATAGTCGTCCCTCAGAGTGTATGTAGCGAGCCGCTACAAAGAGACGTTTCCTACAGTGGTAGGAACTTTTTTTTACAGAAGGTGTCCTTGAATACTTCCTTCAAAAATTGTTCATTATCAAAGCGATTTCCATTCTCAACAACCCATAAAAAATCAACTCTAAATGCCGAAAGCAAATCCCCACAGTAGCCCAAGGGGGCACGAGAATAATGACAATTTTATGTCAAATTTGCGTATAAGGCTTGAATAACTGTCTCCGCAATATACCGCAAAGGGGGTGAAGGTAGTTAATAGAATTGGTGGGAAGGAGAGTGGAGGAAAAACGAGAAAAGGACGAAGTGAAGTAAAAGGATGAGTATAGAAGTGTCGACGTCGCCAGTTGAGAGACACCCTCCATCATGGTGCTTTAATTAAAATTACGTACGTTTCCGCTTGTAACTCGAGCCTCCATTTAGGATTTTCTCCTTTTTGTAGGAGCTTTTCATTATACGAACATGCACAGAAGCATCTTTGAAAAGGCATAGTCGCTACTACCCTCTTTTGCTCGTTACCCTTTTATTTTTCATTATTTTCTTTTTTTTTATACTCTTCTTTTCATATTCATCTTTCTCACGAAAGTATCCCCCCGATTTTTTCAACAACACAACGTGCCAACTCTCATGCGCCGAGAGTGGATACAGAGCCTGAAAGACTTTCCATCAACCTAACTAAGGATTGTGCATGTTTGCGAAACAGTGCGAGAATTATTGTCAAGGACTGTGGAATTAATGCCGACGTAATGAGATACTAAGAGGAGAGAAAAAGAGACCTTCCTGGAAGTTACTCACTTCGCATTGTCGTTGGGTTTAGAAATTACTGTTCAAGTGCCGGTTGAATATATTAAGCATTAATTAAGATATTTTTGGAGTTTGATCCACAGTGGATTGCTTGTGATCAATAATGATTTCTCTTTCAATTTTTAATGGATAACAGATGAATCAAATTATAAGAAATCTTTCCTTTGTTCTTAATGTCCTCTCATAGAAATAATTGTTTTTCACATAATAAATACAGAAGTAATAAATATATCAGAGTTGATTTATGAGGTTTTTGAATGTGTTGTAAAAACGAAGTGTGAGGCACGAAAACGTGGCGTTATGATTTCTGTTATTGATTTTAATAAAAATATACTGTTAGAATTGAGATTTTATGAACAGTTTAGCAGTGATGTTATGAGAGACGAGAGAAGTGAAACGAGACGAGAGAAACCATCTAAGATCGACGAGACAAGACAAGAATTTGCTATTTCTCGTCCCGTCTTGTCTCACGGTAAGACAGTTTAGTAGTAATTTTCTGGATAACGACGTAAAACTCGATATAGAGAGGAAAGAATCATAAAATTCCAAATTTCACAAAAAATTGAATGAAATTTCGAATTTTTAGGAGCAGAAAAAGTACAATTCTCCAAGTTACTTGAATTTTTAATCTAAAAATGAAAATTTACTCCAAAATTACACAAAATTTTGAGTCAATTGGCAATTCAATATTCAAGACCCAATTTTCCTGGTTCCTATTAATTTTTATAAAATACTTAAGCTGAAATTCACAGTTTTGATAGATGTTTTCATCCAATTATGAATTTTCAATGACGAAATTTTTTAAAATTTCAGTGGAACTGTAACTTGATGAAAGTTTCTAACAAATGTAAAAATGGAAATTTCATCCTCTATTTTTTAACAGTGCGATTAAGATTTAATAATACGACTAATTTTACTATCTAAATGGAAGCAAAGGCCAGTGTGAAAAAAAGTGCTGAATCCACTGGTCAAAAAAAAAGTGGAATATCTCAATAATGCAGATATTTGACATTTTAAACCCCACATAGTCTCATGCTCACGCCTCGATTCTATGAATTTCGTCCATTATATCTCTGAACTAGGCGGCTACGCCCCCTGTTCGTTCCGCTCACCAACTTTAATATGACCTGCATATGATCCCCATATCACCCTCATGATCCTTATTCTGACCATCGTGACCCTCATTATACCCCTCGTGACCCTTATTTTCACCTTTCGTTTCTCACCCTTAATTTTTTAGTTTAATTTCGAGTACCAAATTTTCATCACCAGAAGTCGATATGTATTTTTATAATATACAGAGATGATCAACGTAGATTGCAAACTGTAAGCACTCGAAAGAATGGATATGGGTAATCATCAGGGTGTTTATCCAAAAAAAGTTTTGCATAAACATCTTCAATTGGAGTATTTATGTTGTTTGGTACTGAATACTCATATTTTGTTTGGAAATTGAAGTAAGTCAGGGGATTCTTGTCTTCTTGCTGCTAAAAAATGTAGAATTCCCGTAAATTGTGAAATGTGAAATTCAAAATTTCATGGCTTTTTCCTTCACATTCCATTTTCGGTTTGTTTGAGCCTATCTCGAACCTTCAACTGCGAGAGTGATGTCATCATAATTCGCAGGGTTCAAACCTCCATAAGGCCAATCAGTGGAGATAAGCAGAACAATCTCACGAGTCAAATGATCACAGGGGTAAATCGGAAGAGGCAGGGGGATAAAAACAAGAGTCAAACAACTATGCATCGAATGAACTAATCAGAAGGCTTTTTCGTTTGATCCCTGTCCTGCTTGCCTCTCCTGTTTGATTCTGGTGATTGCTTTTCCCGATTGACACTTGTAATGATTGACTACCATGATGCATATATGACGAGCCTTCCGATTATGTCATACCATTTATGATCGTTCTACTCAACTTGAAAGTCACCACCAGATTTTGAGGAGAAGTCGGAACATTTGAGATGAGACGAAAAACACAATCAAAATCAAAAATCAATCTAACGTTTTGCATCTCATGCAACGTTCTTACGACACATTTTACGTTTTCATGTGGTACTTGACCGTCGTGACCCTGGAACATATAAATAAAAATGTCTGACCTTGGTCACCTTCAACTCGCGAAAAGGGGAAGAAATCAGATCTTAGTGACCCGAATTAAATTTTTTTTTCTCTCCGTACCCTGGATTTCTTTTCATTCCAAAGTTGTTTGCGACATTTATCATGTATTCATTATGACTAACAAATTAAGTTATTATTAGGCGAAACAAAAAATTAAGGGGTTCATTTTGCCCTACCCTCCCCTATATTACCTAAATTCTCCTGATTTTTACCCGTTCTCAATAAATAATTGAACTAAAATTTACAGCTTCCATTGATTTGCTCATGAAATTTTGTTTTTTCAGTAATGGAATTTCTTAAAGTCGAGTGAAAATTTCACACATTGAACCTTTTACACTTCGCTGCAAAAGTCAACAATCTGGTGAGGTTCGTTGATTCCCAGGGTGGCGACGGAGGGGGAAAGTGCAGATTTGTTTGTAAGACAAGTACACCGAGAATTTAGGCCTGGGCCAAGTCAATTTATTCACAATAATTTAGATGGACGCCACAATAATAAACAGACGAATTTTTGATATATAAGTCGAACTTTACTATCGATAATTGTCCTTGATAATGGTCTGGGAATGATCGTTGAAGCACTGGTGAATTTTCAGTGTAAATTTTCACTGATAATGTTCAATAAATCACTGATGATTTTCCGTTGATTTTACTAGCTAAATGACACGGTGAGTTTACTGTACAGGTGATAACTGACTCAATGATTTTACAATATAAATAATAAACTGTTTCGATGTTTACACAATGATTTTACTCGATAACTTTCGGATAATTCCATCATATTAAACCGGGATGATTTCCGGTGAATTACTGGCTCTTGAGAAACTTGTTATGCCTATGTCGAGCAAAAATGATATATTTCGGCTATTTTCGATGAGTTACGACTTGACCTGAATCATTAGGTCACATATTGAAGAGAGTCCCTGACAGGCCCACAATTTAGGCAGGATTTCAAACACTACTGAATTATTGAATCTCTATTCTCAAAAAAAAAAAAATAAGCTGTACAATATTGTTATCTTGAAAACAACCAAATTATTTGCTTTCAATATTCTTAAAACGTCTTCTTTTCTTCAACTCATTGATAAATTCTATCCAATCATATGATTTTTCAATGTACTGCATCCACCACGAATGATATGAAACCTCACCTATGATACATCTGTTGCTTTCCTCTTGTTCCTGATTCGCAGAAATACGGCGGAATGGATTTCACTGGGATTTTTACTGGCAAATAATTTAGGGTTTGCGTAACAATAAATTGCCCATAAGGAGATGCACTATAGAAGAGAGGATATTCGGTTTTTTTAAATGGAAAAAGCCTGAAGTTTCCCATAAAACTGGCAAATATTTGCCGGTTTTCTAAAAAAATTCTAGGAAATTAACGGTTTTTTTGAAAAATTTCTGCAAAAATTAGTGTTTTTGAAAACTCCGGTGAGGTAATTTGGACGAAAAATAAGATGTGAGGGGAAGGATATCTCGGCCAACGGAAGGGGGACAACTGGTTCTAAATGAAGCAAAAAAAAATGATAGATGAATCGATTAGAAAAATTGTGTAATTCACTCCTCAACATATTCCCATACAATCCATTTTGCATAATATAGTCTGTACACTCCATGACGTCCATTTTTTCTTGTGTGCCAACAGGTTTGCTAAAAGGCTCGGTCACGGCCGAGCGGCCTCGCACACTACGTCGTCTGCGGAACGTTTACGGTGAGACCGCATGCGGAATGGGCACCGGTGCAGACAGCACTGGTGAACGGCTTGATGATGGTAATGCCGATGTTTCAATAAAGCACATTGATCGTGAGCGCGACGAAAAATCCCTGAGCATAATGAGTCCATTCGACGAGCAGGAGGAATGGGCCAAAATCTCGGAAATTATGGCCTCATTCGGCACGGGGCTCGTTAGAGAATCAGTTTTCGTCAGTGAACTTGAAAAGGAATTCCAATCGCGACTCGGTAATTAGAAATTTTTTCCTGCGTGTTTCATTTCTCGTTTTTATAGCTGGATCAAGGCTATGATTTCACGTTGCAATTTCTATTTTTCTGTTACAGGGTTTAGCTCAGATACGAGTAGTAGTCCGGTCGTGGTGACAGGTGTTGGTCAATGGCTCTCGAGTCTCGGTTTTGCTGATTATAAATCGTTATTCGTAAATTATGGCTTCGATGACATCGAATTTATCGTAAGTTGAATTATCCTTGAATTATCCTGTTGACACATTGGGCGAATAAAAATCCTACAAAATAGATTTACATGCCAGTTTGTTGCAGAGAAGTCATTAGATTCCAGAACAATACGTATTCTTTTTTCCCTGTATTTTCTTTACGGTCACCTATCCGCTCAGTGGCACGCTCAGCATGTTGAGCTTTCCTCACTTCAAGTCTTGTTGTGTCACCAATTAGCTGGTCCTAACTAGCTTAAAGATGAATCACCTTCACATTACATTACATTGAAGAAGCGATTTTATATCTTTCCACATCTTTGTGACGTCATTATGCCTCGTGAGTTTAGATGCTTGGGAGAACTAAATAATTAAAGAAAAGTTACTTGTCTCAACAAAATACGTTTCAGATATTAGAATTTTTTTTTCAGTGCATTATTCTGAATTCTCAGTCTATTTAAAATTCAATTGAATGCAATATTCAATTTGCGTAACATTAAAAATTGAAATACTGCTGTTACTTAAATATATACAGAAAACTTGTACCTGTGTTCATCACCCTAATTAATTAGATCCTCCTCTTTATGTTGTACAGAACGGAATCCTGGAAGAGCCAGACCTAGAAGAGTTGGGTATAACCAGCGATAAGGATCGAGCCGTGATAATGAACGCGTCGATTCTTCTCCCAAAACGGGTAGAAAAGCGCATCTCGACTCCGCGCACTGTGGAAGACTGGCTGAAAACAATTCACCTCGAAAACTACATAGAGACCTTTAGAAAGCACCTCTACACCGACATGGAGCGAGTCCGGCGAGTCTGGGAGGTAGAGCTAACAACTGTCCTCGAGATCCAGAAACCGGGTCACAGAAAGCGCATCCTAGCCTCTGTGACGGGTCCAAGTCCCCGAAGCCAGCCCCGTAATGGCACCGGGCCGAACCTCGAAGATCTGAACAAAGACCTGAATACTTTGGTGAGTGTCGCTCATTTATCGTCATTCCAATCAGCGGTATAGTGGATACTCCCTAAGATGTCGGCTTCGGGAGTACGAATTCCATAAATTCAAATGATCGAGAAATTCTATAAATGTGAGCAGTGTAGGATGAATTCAGCAATGTTCGAGAATAAATAGTTAGTTTAATTTAGTTATGCAAGCAGAGGGATGGACCAACCTCCCCGCCACCGAACTTCTCCTAGTTATTCTAACTACGCTTTTACTGAAGTATGTTTAGCACCGCCAGTTTTGGATGGTCACACAGAATGAACCAGTTGTCCTCTTTTATTTCATAGCAAAATCTGCATAGGTCGTCGTCGCCGATGCCCATCTTTTTGCAATGTGCCGTGAACCGTCCATGTTCAGTAAGTTCTGATGTGCTGAGTTTTCCTCTACCCATGGCCAGTAATTGTTCAGCTCTCTTGCTGTTGAGCCCAGGCATCGTTGCTCTAGCTTGTTTGCAAGCTTTGGTGTTCTTCCACCAGGTGTTGTAATCCCTCTGGAGCATGTCCTCAATTTGGCTTATACCACGAGCGAAAGGAACGCCTATTGGCAGAGATTGGGTTTCAATTTCTGTCCCTTTCTTAGCCAGCTCGTCCGCTGTCTCGTTTTTATGGGTGCTTTCATGGCTCGGGACCCAGGTTATGGTAACCTTGCTTTTCTTCCCTAGGTTTTCTAGTGCTCTCATGGTCTCTCAGACCAATGTGGTTTCTGTGGTGGGTTTCATGAGTGTTTTCATAGCGGTCTGACTATTTGACCAGATGTAGATATATCTGCTGCCTATCTGCCGCTCAGTCCGAAGCTCTACACAGCGTTTGATGGCCAGCACATCCGTTTAAAAGACGGTAGCGAAAGTCCCCAGAGGCCGGCGGCCTCTGTAGCTCTCTCCTAGTCCGCATAATCCTGCCCCAAAACGGTCACCATATCCGGAGTCATCCCTTGGCGCTAGGCGTAGGTTGATGGTTACCCAATTTTCCCTTTCAGGATTGTAGGTCTTGAAAAACTTTCCGATCTGGTACTTCCGGTTTATACGGTCTTACTTCAGATTCAGAAGTTTCTTTTTCAGGATATCAAGTCGTGCATGCATTGCCCCAGACCGGCTCTATTCCCTTTGACACCTGAACCTGTATGCGGTTGATTTCGCCTTGTATACCGCATATACGTCCAGCGATGGCATGTCTATAACCACTTCCGGTGCGTTGTTCCGTGTCGCTTTCATGGCCCAAGTTGCCGCTCCGAGGAAAGTTCCTTGGAGGGTTATTTTAACTTTAACTTGATTATGTTCTGCATCTTCCTCACCCTACGCTACCAGACTAGGGATGTGAGTGACAAAAATGACCGGTCAAATGACGGTCAATTACCGCGGTCATGACGGGTAATTACCATGTCCATAAATCTGATGATTCGGTCAGGAATTCAAAAAATGACCAATTCAATTCTGACGGTCAATTCTCATCTATATAGATGACACACAGAAATATTTATTCGGTTCACAAGCTCATACCTTGGCTTGGAGAGTGAGTTCGCGATGGGGTTTCCCAGTGGATCCGATTCGTCGGTTTGATTCTAGTCGATTCTTAAAAAAAATAACAAAAAAAAACAAAAAAGTGTGGGGAGCATTGCCATATATATATATTGGCATGGAAAACTTAAAAAAAAGTTTCCGTCTTATTTGAGGTTGTTCCCCACACTTTTTTGTTTTTTTGTTATTTTTCTCATGGTGAAGTTCACAAAATTTTCTAACAAATACCTATTTTCATTTTTGGTGCTCATCACCAACAACGTCGGTGGTGTGAGTCCTGGGCTACCCCAAGAGTTGCTGAGGATTGAATTCTTCACCAACATGTGTTGGTTCCTTTAAGAATTTAGTAACTTGATTGAGAGAAGTTGATATCTTCACAAAGGTGTACTGATACAAATTTTCATTTTATTGTCGTAAGAAGATACGTTGGAATCCATAAAGCAATACCTCATTTCTATTGGAATAGTACATTATGTCATCATGGCGATAAAAGTATTATGTGACGAATGTGACTTTATAATCCGAGCCGAAGGCTCGGATGGCTCGAAGGCTCGGTAATATATATATGTTTGTCAAGTGGTCAGTTTGATGACCATGCAACGTTTTGAGTTAGAATTCAAATGTGTGAATTCTAACCTCAAAACCGAACAGCTCTTGGCATGACCCAGGAGCACCACGTGGAGGTGGCTGTTCAAGGCCACCGGCCTCCGGCCGGCCGGTATTCTCGGCTCAGTCCGCCATCGATTTGCTCTCTGCCACGTTCTTCTGTTTTTCCTCTATCCACTTCTTAATCAGCCTGTTCCTGGTGTTTCTGAGCACCCTCTTGGCCTCATTATACTTCTTCTTCGAGCTCCAATCCCTCTTCTTTCTAAACCTTTCCAGGTCCCGGAACATCTCCCTCCTCTTCTTCTCATACTCTCCATTGTCCCAGTGCGCTCTCTTCGAGGGATTGCTCCCTAAAATCATTCTCGCCTACTGTGCCGCCTTCGTTGTCACCTCCACCAGTGTCGTCCATCTGTCCTCCAGTCCTTCCCTTAACTCACCTCTGTTCACCCACTCTCCTCTCCACTTTTCCTTAAATTCCTCCTCTCGATCTTCATTCCATTTCAACCTCACTTTATTGTTGCTGCTTCCCTTATCTTCTGCGTCTTCTCTGTTCCATTCCACTCTGCAGACGATCGGTAGGGGGTCTGATCCTTCTTGATCCGTCACCTCCATCTCTCTGAACCACTCGGGGCCTCTTCCCCCTCCATTTTAACTATTATATAGTCTAGTACACTCCCCAATCCTGCTCCTTCACCTATAAATGTAATTTTTCCTTCCTGATCTCCCTTAGCTCTCCCGTTCTGGATTAGCAGTGCTCTTTCCTCACACCACTCTATCAGCCTTTTCCCCTCGTTTCTAACAGTCTTATCCTATGAGTTTCTCTCCATTGTCCGCGACTCTTGTTCTGTTCCACACTCTGGAACCCCCTGCAGTTCTCCAATCCTTGCGTTCAGATCGCCAGTAATGATCAACCTTTCCTCCGAGCCCTCCATCTCCTCCACTAGTTCGTCCATATTTCTCAAGGCTCCCTTCAAGTTCTTCCTGTCGGTGACATAAGTGCTCACCACCTTGTATTCTATGCCACTCTTCTTCTCTTTAATTTTCAGCATAAGGGCATATTCCCATTTCTCCACTGTCCAGTCTGCTTCCAACGACCTTCTGACTCCTATTAAATGTCCTCCACTTGCTTTCCCTCTTTTATTCACTCTTTTTGCTTCTTTCCCGAATCATTAGAATTGTTTATTTAGTAAATTTAAATATATACCTATATATTACATATTTTTTCGATACATAATTATTAAACTCGTTTTAAGGTGTTTTCACCAAATTTTCGCAATTTAAAAAAAAAAATAGATCCTGGATGGAACCCAACATGTATGACGGCTCAAAATTTTCATTTTCATTATAAGAATTACTGAAAAAAATTTTAAATAATCGGCCGTGAGGTAATTGGCAAAATTCAAGTTTTTCAACTTTTTTTTCTCGAAAATTCGTTATTTCAAGCATCTAAAAATTGGAAAAAAAATTTTAAAAAACAATCTTATAGGTGGTGAACAATGGAAAATTATGCCCCCTAATAAATTGAAATCGAATGAGTAGAACTCGAGTTATTGTAAAAAAACAGAACAATTTGAAAAAAATCATATTTCCGAACTGGGCTATCAAAAAAATCTGAAAAAATTTGAGAGATAGTTTTTCAAGCCCCCTAATCGTAGCAAAAATCGCCATCAATTTTCAAGAGGGTGAGGGTTAACTGTTGACGCATTTGGCATGGAATATCTCATATATATATGCATAAAAAACGTCGACGATTTTTGCTTAGTACTAAATAATATAAGGAGAAGTGGAGAAAGAAGGGCTGGTGGTGATGAAAAACAAGGAAAGAACTCTGGTAACATCAAGGAAATAAATTGAATTGAATTGAATTGAATATTTAAATTTACTTCATACTGTTTATAATCAAAGTCAACCAATGACAATTTGGAGTATTTTGACCAAATTCGCGGAATTTTGAGAATCAAAAATTAAAAATAAAATAGATCCAAGACGAAACCCAATATGTATGACAGCTCAAGATTTTTGTTTTGATTATAGGAATTACTGAAAAAAAAATTAAAATAATCAACCGTGACGTAATTAGCTAAATTCGAGTTTTTTAACTTTTTTTTTTTCAAAAATTCGTTATTTCGAGCATCTAGAGATTGGAAAAAATTTGGATAAAAAACATTCTTATAGATGGTGAAAAATGGAAAATTTTGATCCCTAATAAAGCGAAATCGGATGAGTACAACTCGAGTTATTGTAAAAAAAAACGAACAATTTGAAAAAAAAAAAATGTCTCCGAACTGGGCTGTCAAAAAAATCTTAGAAAATTTGAGAGATAGTTTTTCAAGCCCCCCAATCGTAGAAAAAATCGCTATCAATTTTCAAGAGGGTGAGGGTCAGCCGTTGACTCATTTGGCATGGAATACCTCATAAATATATGCATAAAAAACGTTATTTTTTCGAAAAGTTAGAAAAATTTGTGACTGAATCTATGGGTTCAACATTTTTTTTGTTGTTTATAGTGACTCATAATGAAAATAGGAAACAAAAGTTTTTAGAAGAAGAAAAAAATACAATCTTCAATATTTCAACCAATAACTGAGCAAGAGAGCTCCGGTTGCTCATTTTTCTTGTTCTGAGTTATACTTTTCAATTAATATTCGATTAATATTCGATTAATATTCAATCGAATATACAATTAAGGGAAGCCTACTATGATTTTTAAAAGTCGCGGACTATTACAGTGGGATTTCTCATGCATGGAAGACTGATTAGGGGAGCGTAGGGCAAAACGGACCAGGCGGGTCAAAACGGACCACTGACCGAAAATTGATAATTTCTGTTTTTGCCTCCGAATGGAAGCTTT